AATGTCTAAGAATACAATGACCGTTGGTCTTTGGTGGGCATGACGGTGCTGTAGCAGATGTCGGAGGGTGAAGATTTGATCGATGCATCCACGACCAGCGCGAAACCCAGCTTGCTCCTCACGGGTTTGCTCTTCATGCGTAGTGTACAATCGGCGGAGAATGACGGACGCCAACAGCTTCGACTATCAGGATTAGGCTTGCACCTCTATTATTGGCTGCCCAGTTTGATGAACATTAGGAGAAAAAAGAAAGTTGAAAGTGGAGTCGAACAGAAAATGGAGATCAGTGGTCTAAGGTTGCAAAGAAATTGAGAAGATGCACGAACCCGACTGTTTACGACACCCACCCATATTACTTAGTTTTCCAAACTTTAGAGAACAGAGCTTGTAGTTCTCGAATAAGCTTAATTCCAACATTTTCAAAAAGGGATAGGGAAAGACCATTAGAGCCCGGCGCTTTGTGACGACCCTAGGCTTGGATCTCCATACGGATTTCCGCCTCAGAAGGTTGAGATAGACCATGGAACGTGTGCCGGGATAGCTGTGTAAGAAGCCGAGGCTGGTGGCCAGCTAAACTGTGCTTTGAAGTGCTCCGCCCAGCGTTCAAGACGACGCTGTTGATTGTGAACAGGCGAGCCGTCAGCTCGTTTCGCACACACCCAAAGTTTTCCTACCGGTGACTCGAATGGGATGGAACAACTTACGGAAATTACCCATGGCGGCAGCACGTTCTGTCTCTGACGCGCGTTGGGTCCACCAGATCTCGCGGTCTCTGTGTAGGCTTGCATTAAGTTCACATCTCGTTACGAGTCGTGTTTAATTATGCTCGCTGCCGACGTGGGTCAATAAGGTATAAACTCTGCAGAGATCCACAGTGTCACGGCGCGACGTGTCAGACCACAACCAACTAAGCAAGCAGAATGCAGAGAATTCTTGATAAGCGATCAGTGCTGGTTAAGATCATCGGGTGGGGTTGGTACTAGCTTTGCAGATAGTGCGTTTTGGAAGACAGTTAGACAAGCTGGTTTGGACAGCTTATTACAGTCTAACCGTCGTTGTATCGTGCGTTTGGAAGACCCACTGAAGAACATGGATAGCTTAGCGAATACAAATGTGTGGTCGGATTTGAGGGAAGTGCTCCAGTACGATCGGCAGTCTTGAATGCTGCCCCGCCATTTGTGGCTTATCGCGATGTGGTCTATCTTTGTCCGTCTCTGACTCGAGGAGGGCGGGCGCCAAGTGGCGTACTGGCAGTTGGAGCGTCTAAAATTCGTACTGGCGAGGAACAGGCGGTGGTCGGAACAAAGAGCCAACAACCATTTCCCATTTTCCGAGCGACAAGAATCTAGTCCGAAAGGACCACCCAGATGCGCCTCACTCGAAGTCAGTCAACCTACTCTAGCATTCATATTTCCTGCTAAAACCACGATATCAGCCCGACTCGCTTTACGTAAGAGATCGTGTAGATTGTTGTAGAATTCATCTTTACCTTAATCTGGGCTTCAGTCTGTTGGAGCGTACCCCGATACGACAAACAGGTTTTGTCTATCGAGGCGACGGCTTTTTACTTTGCACGAACCTGTGAGTCTCATTGCGCACAATCTACTGTCCACTGGGATCCAGTCCGGGAGGGCGGCTTCAGCTCTCTCAATAAGAGCCAGCAAGACCGGAAGCCACAGCCTCAGGGTCCCCAGAGAGGCGTAAGTGAAACTTCACTGATGGGGACTTCAATCGGATAATGGAGCTGGAGTCTTGAATGCGAGTTTCTTGGATGCAACACACATCGATGGCTAGGGTTTCGAGCGTACGAGCTAAACCAACCTGTTGTCCTATACGCATCAGAGTGGGCACATTAAATGTGGCTAGTTTGAAAGGTCATCGAGGTCGGAGCCCAGTGTATTTAATAGAAAGTGGTCGTTTCATATGATTCCAATTTATCGCGGAAGTTCGTTTTCAATAACTGTTGGCAGCGTTTCTGGATTACTCATCAAAGTAGGCGATCAGATATTGTGTATTCCAAATAGTAGACC